CCATCCTTTTTTTTGTTAGGTCCGTCAGAGGTGCTGCAATTTCAGCAAAATTGGGTGCAAACTGTCTATAATAGCTGGCTAGGCCTAAAAATTGTTGAACTTCCTTTACATCTCTTATGTCCTGTTGTGTCTTGGGATCAACCTTGCTGTGTCCTTCCAGGTTTTCGCAGTAGCATGGTGGATGCAACAGCAGCTGTCACAGATAACTTCCCTCCCTCCAATTAGCATGGATGCGGGGTAATTGGGGTGGGGGCGGAAACCTTCAACGAGAGGCAGGTTTTTTTAATGTATATATACACGTGTGTGTGTGCATATTCTTTTTATCCATTAAATCGTGTGGAATAACTGCGGTGTCCTGACTCTTCTTTGGGCGCTCAGCGCCACGACTTAACATGTCCCAAGAAATGTACCTCCTCATGGGCAATCTTGCATTTTGAAGGATTAACAGTAAGCCCAGCTTTTCTCAATTCTTTTAACACGGCTGTTGTGTGATTTAAGTGTTCATTCCAATTATGACTAAAGATTACAGTAGTATGTCATCTACGTATGCCCTAGCAAATTCACTCATTGGCTCTAACACCTGATTCATAAGCCTTTGAAAGGTAGCTGCTGCCCCATGTAACCCAAATGGCATTTTTTTTTGAATTGGTACAGGCCTTTGGGGGTCACAAAAGCAATCTTTTCCTTATCTTCTTCTCTCAAGGGAATTTGCCAATATCCCTTCGTGAGGTCAAGCAAAGTCAGGTATTGTGCGCCCCCTAGTCTTTCCAGCAAATCTTCTATTCTAGGCATAGGGTACGCGTCAAACTTAGAAATTTCATTTAATTTTCTAAAGTCTATACACAATCTCACTTTCCCATCAGGTTTTGGTACAACCACAGGATAACTCCTTCAAGGACTGTGAGATGGTTCAATCACTCCCAGGGCTATCATTTCATCTACTTCCTTATTTATAGTTTCTTTCAGGTGAAAAGGCCAACTCCTACTACCACTTCGGATTATAACATTTGGTTTGGTGTTGATTTGATGTTCCACACAAGTGGTATTTCTGGGTCTACTAGAAAAAACATCTCGAAATTCCCTTTCTATGTCTCAGATCTGAGTTACTTGAGTAGTGTTTAAATTATTCCCTAAGTTAAACCCTTGGTCACTTGCCGCACATACTGAAGTTTCAGGACCTAAATCTTCCTCTCCTATGTCTCCCCACAAAACCTCTCTCTCTTTCCACTCTTTTAGCTAATTTACATGAAAAATTCCTGTTTTTCGCTTTTTGTCTGATGTTTTGATCTCATAATCTACCTTTCCTACTTGTTTGATAACTTCATAAGGTCCTTGCCAACATGCAAACAATTTAGTGTTTTCTGCAGGTAATACTAATAACACCTTCTGACTGTGTACGAACTGGCGTGGCCTCACTTTGACATCATATCTCCTTTTTTGTCCCTGCCACATTATCTCTAGATGTGTCTTGGCTATCTCTGACAGCTATCTCTAGATGTGTCTTGGCTATCTCTCTCAGATGTTCCCTCATTTCCATTACTTTTGCACTGAAATGTGCCCCATCTGTTCCACCCTTTCTCAGATGTTCCCTCATTTCCATTACTTGTTGCACTGAAATGTGCCCCATCTGTTCCACTCTCCCATTTTTCTTTGATTAGATCCAATATCCCCCTGGGGTTCCATCCATCCATCATCTCAAAGGGGGAAAATCATGTGGAAGCTTGAGGAATCTCTCTAACTGCAAACCAGTCTTACCACATCCCGTATCGATCAGCACCCTTTTTTCCTGTCCATTCACCCGCACAATTACTTCCCATCCTTCTCTTTCCGACCCCCCTATCAGAACCGATTCAGTAATGGGTCCTACCCAAGAACAATCCAGGCCAGGGCATTCTCTTTTTACATGCCCGGGATGCCCACAGTCGAAACAAACCGGTTTGCCGTCCTTCCCCATCTTCAGCCCGGTGCCTGGTTCGAATAAACGGTGGTCATACATGATCTGCCGCACCGGTTTGGGTCGCGGTGGACTGAAGCTCAGTTTCCTGTTGTTGATTGCTCCTTGTGGCGCAGTAGGACGTGGGGGAGCGCTGCTACTGCTAGTCGCCATCTTGTCCTACGGGCGGAACTTCTCTTGGGCGGGGTTATGATGTTCTCTCCCTCCTTCTTCAGCCATACAGTAATCTTCGATCAGGTGAATCGCTTCCTCCAACCGCTTCGGCCGATTTCTCTGTACCTAATTACGAGGTTAGTTCCCAAAGTAATGACTAATTTTCCATTACAAAGATCTCTCCTCTTTTGACTTTTCTTCTGGATGCAGCCCCCTAATTAAATTAGCCTTCATTCGTTGACTAAGGGGGCAAGGGTGCCTGCCTGCCTTCAATTTAAGTTCCCTAAATCATTTCCTGTAAGCTTCCTCTGTCAGATTTAGAGTCTGTAGTATAGCCCCCTTTACCATGTCATATAGTGCCACTTCTGCTGAGGGCGAAGTGTCAACTACTTCTTGCAGTACACAGGTTAAACAGGGAATCTATATCAAAGTCCATTGTTCCTTGGGTCATCCCGCAGCCGTGGCTACCTGTTCGAAAGTATGCAAATACGCTTCAGGATTGTCTGTAGCGCTCATTTTTGGAATACGGATAGGCATGGGTCCCACAACCCATGGGTTTTTTACTTCTTTGGATGTTCTTTCTCTGTTTTCACTCTCCTTATTTTGCTGCAGTAATTGTCTGGTTATCAATGCTTGTTGTTCAGCTAAATTCTCTATCAATTTCTCATCTCTTAATTATCTGTCTCAGTTCGAGAATTTCTTCATTTCCCGCCACTCTGCCTGCCCCATGTTGGGTGCCAATGTGAACAGGTTCTTCCCTTCTCTGGAACGGACTCTCTTCTTCAGCGGGAAATAATAAAGGCGTAGCCTTTATAACCTTTAAACTTTCATCTTTATTCTCTTCCATATGCACCAGCACGTTGCTTACAGGAACAAACGTTTCTAACTTAGGCAACAGGCCACAACTTTCTGAAACACAACTTTTGTCATAGTCCCATGGACTCAAAGGGGTTGCCCCCCACGCCATCTCTTGGCTTCTGGCTTCAGGAGAGGGGCGCTCCGTATCGCACAGATAGTCCCACTACATGAGTGTCGGACCCACCCTCTCTCATCAAGTTCTTCAGAATGTTGGTATTTCTCTGCTTCCCACTCACGTTTCAACTCAGCTTTTCTGGGCGCCACAATCACAGTCCACTCTTGAGCCACCACTCGTTGAGATCTTTCTCTTTCCTGGTCAGGATCAGGCAGCAAACCTCCCACTCTCAAATTTGGAAAGTCTCTTATCAGACCCTGCGTGCACACTCTTTCAAACACCTTTCTCCGTTCCTCTCCCTTCTTTCTTTCATACTCCTCCACCACTGAGGACAACCACCCTCCTTCATTTATCCCTTCTTCCCATACTGACACCTCTTGTTCCTCCCACTCCCCTTCTGTCAAGCAAATCTCTGTCTTTCCCGCCTTGTCATCAAGGTTTAACTCTCCTGCCTTTTTAGTAACTGTCACCAGGTCACTGGGATGATCCCTTCCACTCTGTTCTCTTTCGCCTTCTACATCCAGGGACGGCACTCTCTACTCCTCCTTCACAGCCCAGTTTCTTTTTTTTTTCCTTCCGGGCCTCCCTCGGCGTTAGGCTCCTCAGCCTCACCTCCTGACTCGCACGAGTGACACGGGTAGATTTTGGTGGGAGTAGGAGTTCTGCCAGGTATTTAGGCCCTAAACCGTTTAGGGCTTTATACGTGAGCATTAAAACTTTGAAGTCAATGCAGAACCAATTAACACATTTTTTAAATAAACTGTTTAATAACTGCAAAAAACCCTCTAGAGAATGCAATTTGTTCTCTCTTTTTTGGCAAATATCACTGGTCCTATGTTCCTGTGTCTGTTTTTTGTAATACTATGTGCCAGAACTGAGTTAGGAAGAGTGAAACAAAGCAGACAGAAGACACACTTTCCTAAGGATGCAACGCTTTCCAAGTATACAGCCCACCAAGCTAGCCAAAAACAGAGATGAAGGCAGGACAAATGACATGGGAAATGATGCAGTTCAAAGAACTTATTACAGCCAATGTAAGCTTAGTGTTTGTGGGATGGAGCAACAGAATGAGGTCACCCTTGGCAGACCCCTTGCGAAAATAGTCTGAGGAAGTGAACTTGTTTGCCAAAGCTCATGCTAAAATACAAGAGTTAGTCTTCAAGGTGCCATAACGTTTTGGTCTTTTTCTTTTGCCATATATGTTAGCACAGACGAACACAACCACCTCTTCTAAAACTACCACTTGGTAAATGTTTTCCTAATAGATTTAATTGTCAGACAGGCCTTTCGGGTTGTGGTATCTCTACCCTTTGGAGAGCAGAACTGGCAGGACCAAGCCATGTTGGACAGGAATGTACAGACTGGTTTCACTGGTCAGCTCTGGGACTTAACGGGTCCTCTAGACGCCACTGAGACCGCCAAGGGTTGGGCGACAGCCAGTCAACAGTGACAAGTCTTTTAAAGTCTGTTGCAAAACTACTTAAGTCTTTTAAGATGGAATTTATATCGCCGCCCGCCTCCCCATCCCTACATCCAGTCATACGTCGGGTAGTACCGGTTTCCGATGTCCAGCAACAACAAACCCATTGACCTGTCATTCCCCCACACACACACACAAAAAAACCCCCGCTTCCACTGTCCCCTCAAATCCTTCCCCTTGTGCTCCGAAGCGTGCAACCTCCATGCTTTTTCGCTCGTCGCCTGGTTTAGACTTGTCTGGTTGAGGTTTAGCGCTTCTTAAGCAACCAAGTCAGGCTAATCTCTAGTGAGCCCATCTGTCCCTATGGTCGCCAAAGCCGTTAGAGGCGCGGCAATTTATGCCAAATACGTCACAAACACAAAGGGACGGAAAACTGCTACACACGCAAGCGCAGAAACAAGCACAGCGACAGTAACGGGGCAACCGCACGAGACACGCCCGCCTGCGTCGCTCGATTGGTCGAGAGCCTGGGATGGTCCTGCGCAGCCGCGGAACGGGAAAGAAAGAAAGAAAAGCCACGCCCGTCGCTGGGCGCGCGCATGCTCGCTGACGACGGTTGAAACAGGGACTGGGGCAGCAGGTTTGGAGGCGGCGTTGACGCCTCTGGAGGAGCCGCGAAGATGGACGAGCTCCAGTCTGCCGAGGAGGTAACGGCGTTGAACGGCCGCGCTCCGCCTCCCGCTCTCCCCGCCTCGGCTCCCGGGGGGAGGGCAGAGAGCCTTCGTAGTTCTGGCCTTTTTTCTTGCCCGCTGCCGTGGCTCCGTGAAGCCTCACGGCCGGGAAAGAGCGAGAGCGAGAGCGAAGGAGACGATGCCGGGTCGCTGCCCGGTCCTTTTTTCTTGCCCGCCGCCGTAGCTCCGTGAAGCCGCACGGCCGGGAAAGAGCGAGAGCGAGGGAGACGATGCCGGGTCGCTGCCCCGGTCA